TGTTGATTTATGTTGCAGTGCACCCCATGCACTGCTGCCTGTCACTGTCATGACGGCCGTGTTCTCCTGTCACTGTCATGACGGCCGTGTTCTTCTGTCACTGTCATGACGGCCGTGTTCTCCTGTCACTGTCATGACGGCCGTGTTCTCCTGTCACTGTCATGACGGCCGTGTTCTCCTGTCACTGTCATGACGGCCGTGTTCTGTCACTGTCATGACGGCCGTGTTCTGTCACTGTCATGACGGCCGTGTTCTACCCATCACTGCTGGGTGAACACAAGCGTATACCTAAGGACTGGCGCCCAGTCAATCCTCCCCGGCCAGGATACGAACCCAGGCCAAAGTGCTCGCGAAGCGCCAGGCGAGTGTCTTACCACTGCTCCACGGAGACATATATATGACACTGTGGGTGACAGGCAGACACATATATATATCCCCTGTGGGTGACAAGGAGGAAAGAGGTTCCCGACGCTGCAAGAAGATTGCAAGAGTTATCTTGCAATCTTGCTTCTTACAGCCCATATATCCTGTCTTTACTCACAAGAACAACAGTCATTGAACTGACGGCATTAGAACACAAATAACAAAAACAACCTTGTTATTAACAAGAACAATATGTTGTGGGTTGTGAACCATGAGATAACAAGGACTGGTAAGATAACAGAATTAATCTGAGGAGAAACATTTTGTGATAACGATCTGTTGTCTGAGTCGGAGTTATGGTGGTGACTGTTACTGGTTGGTGGTGACTGTTACTGGTTGGTGGTGACTGTTACTGGTTGGTGGTGACTGTTACTGGTTGGTGGTGACTGTTACTGGTTGGTGGTGACTGTCACTGGTTGGTGGTGACTGTTACTGGTTGGTGGTGACTGTCACTGGTTGGTGGTGACTGTCACTGGTTGGTGGTGACTGTTACTGGTTGGTGGTGACTGTTAGTGGTGACTGTCACTGGTTGGTGGTGACTGTTACTGGTTGGTGGTGACTGTCACTGGTTGGTGGTGACTGTTACTGGTTGGTGGTGACTGTTACTGGTTGGTGGTGACTGTCACTGGTTGGTGGTGACTGTTACTGGTTGGTGGTGACTGTCACTGGTTGGTGGTGACTGTTACTGGTTGGTGGTGACTGTTACTGGTTGGCGGTGACTGTCACTGGTTGGTGGTGACTGTTACTGGTTGGTGGTGACTGTTACTGGTTGGTGGTGACTGTTACTGGTTGGTGGTGGTGACTGTCACTGGTTGGTGGTGACTGTTACTGGTTGGTGGTGACGGTCACTGGTTGGTGGTGGTGACTGTCACTGGTTGGTGGTGACTGTTACTGGTTGGTGGTGACTGTTACTGGTTGGTGGTGACTGTTACTGGTTGGTGGTGACTGTCACTGGTTGGTGGTGACTGTTACTGGTTGGTGGTGACTGTCACTGGTTGGTGGTGACTGTTACTGGTTGGTGGTGACCGTTACTGGTTGGTGGTGACTGTTACTGGTTGATGGTGGTGACTGTTACTGGTTGGTGGTGACTGTCACTGGTTGATGGTGGTGACTGTTACTGGTTGGTGGTGACTGTCACTGGTTGGTGGTGACTGTTACTGGTTGGTGGTGACGGTCACTGGTTGGTGGTGACTGTTACTGGTTGGTGGTGGTGACTGTTACTGGTTGGTGGTGACTGTCACTGGTTGGTGGTGACTGTTACTGGTTGGTGGTGACTGTTACTGGTTGGTGGTGGTGACTGTCACTGGTTGGTGGTGGTGACTGTCACTGGTTGGTGGTGGTGACTGTCACTGGTTGGTGGTGGTGACTGTCACTGGTTGTTGGTGGTGACTGTTACTGGTTGGTGGTGACTGTTACTGGTTGGTGGTGACTGTCACTGGTTGGTGGTGACTGTCACTGGTTGGTGGTGACTGTCACTGGTTGGTGGTGACTGTTACTGGTTGGTGGTGACTGTCACTGGTTGGTGGTGACTGTTACTGGTTGGTGGTGACTGTTACTGGTTGGTGGTGGTGACTGTCACTGGTTGTTGGTGGTGACTGTCACTGGTTGGTGGTGGTGACTGTCACTGGTTGGTGGTGGTGACTGTCACTGGTTGTTGGTGGTGACTGTTACTGGTTGGTGGTGACTGTTACTGGTTGGTGGTGACTGTCACTGGTTGGTGGTGACTGTCACTGGTTGGTGGTGACTGTCACTGGTTGGTGGTGACTGTTACTGGTTGGTGGTGGTGACTGTCACTGGTTGGTGGTGACTGTTACTGGTTGGTGGTGGTGACTGTCACTGGTTGTTGGTGGTGACTGTCACTGGTTGGTGGTGACTGTCACTGGTTGGTGGTGACTTGTCACTGGTTGGTGGTGGTGACTGTCACTGGTTGGTGGTGACTGTTACTGGTTGGTGGTGACTGTTACTGGTTGGTGGTGGTGACTTGTCACTGGTTGGTGGTGGTGACTGTCACTGGTTGGTGGTGACTGTCACTGGTTGTTGGTGGTGACTGTCACTGGTTGGTGGTGGTGACTGTCACTGGTTGGTGGTGACTGTTACTGGTTGGTGGTGACTGTTACTGGTTGGTGGAGGTGACTGTCACTGGTTGTTGGTGGTGACTGTCACTGGTTGGTGGTGACTGTCACTGGTTGGTGGTGACTGTTACTGGTTGGTGGTGACTGTTACTGGTTGGTGGTGACTGTTACTGGTTGGTGGTGGTGACTGTCACTGGTTGGTGGTGGTGACTGTCACTGGTTGGTGGTGGTGACTGTCACTGGTTGGTGGTGGTGACTTGTCACTGGTTGTTGGTGGTGACTGTTACTGGTTGGTGGTGACTGTTACTGGTTGGTGGTGGTGACTGTCACTGGTTGGTGGTGGTGACTGTCACTGGTTGGTGGTGGTGACTGTTACTGGTTGGTGGTGGTGACTTGTCACTGGTTGGTGGTGGTGACTGTCACTGGTTGGTGGTGACTGTCACTGGTTGTTGGTGGTGACTGTCACTGGTTGGTGGTGGTGACTGTCACTGGTTGGTGGTGACTGTTACTGGTTGGTGGAGGTGACTGTCACTGGTTGTTGGTGGTGACTGTCACTGGTTGGTGGTGACTGTCACTGGTTGGTGGTGACTGTTACTGGTTGGTGGTGACTGTTACTGGTTGGTGGTGACTGTTACTGGTTGGTGGTGGTGACTGTCACTGGTTGGTGGTGGTGACTGTCACTGGTTGGTGGTGGTGACTGTCACTGGTTGGTGGTGGTGACTGTCACTGGTTGGTGGTGACTGTCACTGGTTGGTGGTGGTGACTTGTCACTGGTTGTTGGTGGTGACTGTTACTGGTTGGTGGTGACTGTTACTGGTTGGTGGTGGTGACTGTCACTGGTTGGTGGTGGTGACTGTCACTGGTTGGTGGTGGTGACTGTCACTGGTTGTTGGTGGTGACTGTCACTGGTTGGTGGTGGTGACTGTCACTGGTTGGTGGTAACTGTCACTGGTTGGTGGTGGTGACTGTCACTGGTTGGTGGTGGTGACTGTCACTGGTTGGTGGTGGTGACTGTCACTGGTTGGTGGTGGTGACTGTCACTGGTTGGTGGTGACTGTTACTGGTTGGTGGTGACTGTTACTGGTTGGTGGTGACTGTCACTGGTTGGTGGTGACTGTTACTGGTTGGTGGTGACTGTTACTGGTTGGTGGTGACTGTTACTGGTTGGTGGTGACTGTTACTGGTTGGTGGTGGTGACTGTCACTGGTTGGTGGTGGTGACTGTTACTGGTTATTGGTGGTGACTGTCACTGGTTGGTGGTGGTGACTGTTACTGGTTGGTGGTGACTGTTACTGGTTGGTGGTGGTGACTGTCACTGGTTGGTGGTGGTGACGGTCACTGGTTGGTGGTGGTGACTGTTACTGGTTGGTGGTGACTGTTACTGGTTGGTGGTGACTGTCACTGGTTGGTGGTGGTGACTGTTACTGGTTGGTGGTGACTGTCACTGGTTGGTGGTGGTGACTGTTACTGGTTGGTGGTGGTGACTGTTACTGGTTGTTGGTGGTGACTGTTACTGGTTGGTGGTGGTGACTGTTACTGGTTGGTGGTGGTGACGGTCACTGGTTGGTGGTGGTGACTGTTACTGGTTGGTGGTGACTGTTACTGGTTGGTGGTGGTGACTGTTACTGGTTGGTGGTGACTGTTACTGGTTGGTGGTGGTGACTGTTACTGGTTGGTGGTGACTGTCACTGGTTGGTGGTGGTGACTGTTACTGGTTGGTGGTGGTGACTGTCACTGGTTGTTGGTG